AAATCTAATAAATATATATTTTTATGTTTCCACTTTGCGCTTCTGAATTTGAGAAATGTCATATATCCTTATTATGAGAAATTGAATATTTAAACACACTCATGTAACATAAATATTCAGATGTTTAACTTAGAATTCTAAACAAAGGAAAAACAGGAAAACAACCGCATTTCGCAACCAAAGGGAAAAACGACGCCATGTGACTTCCAACCAGAGCACCTTGATGCAGTCGACCCACGAGTATGTTGCACCTGTTTTACCTCACCGGGTCAGGATCCAAAAGTGTCAACCCACAGGTTAACAAGCTTGACTAGAGATGTGGTAATTTTTGAAAAAATGAGAAAAATACTATATCACTAAATTTAGTGCATATCTTGAACAACTTTCTTATAATTTGTAAAATAAAAGGATATGATCATGTACTCAAATGAATTACATCTCAACAAACAACCACCCACACAATTGCCAATAAACACGCGGCAAAGCGTGCATCACCACCTAGTTTGTATATAAGCCTATACAGCGTTGCGCTCTCGAACCCCAAACGGGACGCTACGCTCCTCAACCTCGAATCGTTGACCGATGAATTAGACTTCGTAAGCTCTATAACTGCAGTGAAGTTTTTAAATCAATTAGGTTGTGTTGAATCTGAATTTTGACCGGAAACCATAAAAAAGAGTAAAAGAGTAAAAACCGATAACTGCCAAAACTGATCCATACGAAGAGGAATATTATCACGTTGCGTAGGCCCCTTCTTGCTGCCGAGGTGCTGGAATTAGGGCAAAAGAGTCAGCCCTTCAGTTTTTATGAACATGTACTCCTTTGAAACCCTAGCCATCATCGCTCTCAGCACCTCGTAAACAGCCTGTTTTTACTGTTCAGGACCACCATTTTAGCCCCATCAGTAGTGCTAGCTATAAAATTCCGGTAATTTTTTCCATCGCTAATCATACTTCATCTCCGTGAAAATGTGTTGGAACACCTGGCTTTCTGACCCCTCAAATGATGTAGTTGATTGGCGCTCCTTATTTGATCATTAACAACTTAGGTTGGACTGCAGTATAACTTGAGCGTTTTTCTAGAAATTAAAAGCACCAAACAATAATGGACCAATATTCAAGTGGTACTAATTAATATATGCAGCATGCATGGTTGAGGTAGTATCATCCATGCATGCTTCATTAAAGTTATAGTTAAATGAATTTTGTCGGTAATTAACTATATTTTCGATTAAACCTCAATGAAATACTTAAACTCAAGTGTGGAAGTATTATCATACGAAATCTGTGAAACCATGATTTAGACCCCAAAAATTGAAGTTAGAAATAAATAAATAAATAAATATAGGACCATATTCACATTTAAGTTGCACGAGAGGAAAGAGGATGAAAGTGTACCATATGCCCACTTCCTCTACAATAATGTTTGATCATACATTCACATATATATATGGGCTTGTCTTTAGTTTAAAGATAGTATTCTTGTGCATAACTTGATTTCGAGGTTGCGTGAGTAAGCAGTCTCATCTTCTTGGCTTGTTTAACAATGGTGGGAAAGGTTAATGTTCTCGTCAACCTAGCTCATGAATTGCAGTGCATGCATGGGGTTTGATTTGTTTGGTAATTAAAAACGGCTGGTCATTGTAGGTACGTAATTAATTAGATTAGAAACAAACAAAGTGGGGTTATAGGCGCAGACCATCTACATCTATTCCACGTTTGTCTATTTCAAGGAATATATATGTGGCAGAAAGCGGCTGGGGAAGTTTCTGCGAAGCTTCATCCTTAATTTGCGTACGTACGATACGGTGTCCACAATCCACATCACCATTCCTTTATCATCTCATTGATTAAGACATCATATACTCCCCTTTTTCTACCATCCATATAGTAATTTAATTTTGTGAAAATCGAAGTGAATCACGTTCTGTAGTCGATACAAACAATGTTGTGATTAATGATAGAATAGAAGCTGAGTAAGAGGAGAGCGGAGGAGGGCCCAACAAGACAAGGGGGCAATAATTCCAGGTTAATTGCATGGTGATCTCTCAAAATCATATTATGGGGCTATTATATAGTCCCATACCACTAAATCAACAACCTCTTATTTCCCACGTCCCAATATATCCAATATATCCAACAATGGAGAGCTGACCAGTTGTATTACACACTCTTTTTGTGTTTCATTCCGAAAAAAGACGCAGTTGAAGAGAAGCGTGATTTGAGACTGATCAATTTGCTCGGGAGTGTAAATAACATGATTTCCAAGGTAAATTAATTACTGAGCAATTAAAGTCAGTGATCCACTACCTACAATTAAAAGTCACGTGATATCGTGGAGGCTGGTGAGCTATATGATTGTGAAGTGTTGGTATGTTTGAGGATAACACGAAGCTCGAGTGCGGGGGAATTTTGATAACACATGTGAAGCGCCATTCTTCACCCTCCACTACAAGAAAACACACATGCAGTCATGATTTTTTTCATGGCTAAAACTAACTATTTTGTAGCTATATCATATAGCTATAAATAATTCGCCTTGTAGCTTGTATGGCTAAAAGTGCCGCAGCTAAAGGTTAGCTACGTATTTTGTCACTTACATGGCTAAAACTAATTGTTTTAACTATGAACTATATATAACATAGCTAAAAAGGCGATATGTTTTTGCTACAAAAGTTATTATAAGTAGCAGAACCATCAATATATTTAGCTATAAAGACTATAATGCATGGCTTTATCTAATAATTTGCCACAAATAGTTTCATTTGGGATTTGTCAAAATATGTTTCTTGCCATAAAGTACGAGATATATATAGCTTCAGACAAGATTTCTCGTGGCTCTTTTAGTTGTTGATTTGCCACAAACATTCTTGTAACTAGAAAATTCTATTTCTCACTACGAAAAAAAACTGTGGCGAAAGATATAGGCTATAGCTTTAAATACTTTTTTAGGGCTAGAATATTTATTCTTTTGTTACGAATCATTTTGTAACCATAATATCAAAGTTCTGGCTACTAATATAAAGCATCATGGCAAAAGGTTTAAATAGCTTCGGAGAGACGTGTTGTGGCTAAAAGTGAACACATTATTTGCCACAAATAATTCTATAGCTATATCGCTTGTTCTCTTGCTTCATGTATTAACAATCGTGGCTCAATCATTCATAATTTTGCCACAAATAATTTTGTGACTAGATACTTTAAATTTTCGCTACAAAATATGATTGTGGCTACATATTTTACATCTAGCTATGAGGGAACTTTATGTCTAAATTGCTTTGTAACTGTAGCTAATTTTACATTACGCTTTTGTAAAAAATTATTTCGCTAAAAATTTGTTTGTTGGCTTCGGTATGATAAATCGTGGCTATAATATGCAAATCACAATTGTCGCTCAAATACTCATTTTATTCTTTTTTTTGGATCCACAAATTATTTTGATAATATATAGCGTATTAAATAATGCTGCCAAATTTAACATAATAAATAATCTATAAATAATATTATTAAATATCCAACAAAGATTCTCAAAAAAAAAATCCAACAAAGATGGCCTCCAAAATAGAATGACAATTCTTAACAGAGTTCTACTAAAATAAAAGTAATTGTCTTCATAAAGAAAAAATAAGTTCTTCAAATCTTGCAGATAACTATGTATTTTCCATAACCTGCAAAAAAGAGAAAATGTATTAAACTCTTCAATTGGAAAGACGAGATTCGAGTAGCATTTGAGAACAAGATCATATTAACATATATATACAACTACATAGTTAACAACAACGTTTAAAAAAAAACTCATAGCTAATATCAAATTGGTGACTTACTTCTTCATCGGACATATTTAGTGAAAGTGGAGGTTCCCTTCCAGCAAGTAACATCTGAAACTTTTCTTCCCATTTTCTGTTCATCTCGGCCATTTGTTTTTCAACGTCTTTGGTAATTTGATGTACTCGTTCATTAGCTTCCTTCTTGGCTTCTTCAACTTGTTCCTTGGCTTCCCTTCTAGCAGCTTCCACTTGCTTTGTAAGTTCAGCTTTTGTTGGCTTAATCCCAAAATATTCAGTGACACCTTTCCCAGGTCCATAAGCACGCACATAACCATTCTTCTCGGGTCCAAGAACCTTTTCAAACATTTCTTCATCATTAATAGAAATATGCCCTTCAACACGTTGTTTTTTTAACTGATCAAGTTGAGACTGCAATGAGAACAAAAATTTATGAGATTAAAATAATAATTTAAATCTAAACGAAATGAGTATGTTTTCAAGCTTGATGTGTTTATGGAGTTCACTTACAAGGGCAATCTATGAATCAGAATCTAGAGCTTTTCCTTTCTTTCTCTTGCGCGATTCAATCCAAACATCCACACGAGAAGGTGTAGCCCCATTTCTCTTTTTCTAAAATAGAAATTCCTTTTTAGTTTTTATTTTAGTAAGTTATATAATAAATTAATTTGTATGAGAAAACATATATAATACCATTTGATATCGAAGTCGTGCAAGACTTTTCGTTCCAGTGTAAGGTGGCATTGAACGCTTCGATCTGTTCCTTTTGTTTATCAAGCTCCTTTCCTACATCAATTACAAATGGTATGATGGAAAAGTACGTGAAAACAATAATATAACATGTATTATATAAATTATTCTAGTGAATAAGAATATGTGATGGAACCTGAAATGGTTGATCACTCCATAAATTAACAAGATACTTCCAATCACTGATGGAGACTCTTTTAGGCTTATTTTTCAGACGACTTTCATAGTTATTCTTCTTGTTGAAGTAATTCCTCTTCAGTTTATGCCTATAATCTCTGTACAGAGCATTCATGTGACCAATGATTGATTCCATCCTACCCATTGGGAGTTCAAACGTGAACTTCTCCTACGAGAAGCAATAAATGAAAAGAATTGTAGTAAGAAAACAAGTATATAAAATTTCTATTCAAATGCTAAATAATTCCAAAAAAAAAATGAATGAAAAATGTGATTGCTTACCATTATGATCTTATTACGCCATAATCTTGACGTCATGCACATTGAGAAGAATGTATGTGATAATATTATTGGTACTTTACTTGATATAGAGGGAAAGACAAAAGATGGTGTGAATTCTCGACGGGATTTGCAACTTATGAAAATTCGAAAGAAGTTGCATCCAATAGAGAAAGATGGGAAGTATTATTTACCATTGGCATGCATAAAAATATGCTTCCAGAAGCTAAAGATAAGTTCTGTACATTTCTGGAAGATCTAAAAGTTCCAGATGGTTTTTCTTCAAATATCTCCAATTGTGTGAGGGATCGAAAATTATATGGCTTGAAGAGTCATGATTCTCATGTTATCTTAGAGCGCCTCCTTCCTCTTGCTCTACGAGGTGTTGTTCTGCCAAGTATTTATGATGCTATAACAGAGTTATGCATATATTTTAGAGAGCTGTGTTCAAGAGAATTAAGTGTGGATGTTTTGAATCACCTTGAGTCTTCAATTCCTATCACATTCCACCATCTTTTTTTGATATTATGGTGCACTTAGCTATGCATCTTGCTACTGAAGCAAAGCTAGCTGGGCCTGTGCAATTCAGATGGATGTACCCTATTGAGAGGTAATGCTACAAAAAGATTATGCTATATTACTTTAATTATTTTCGATGTGTGAGTTTTGATTGATTATTGTGTTTGTTTATGCAGGTTTCTTCGCAAGTTAAAATGTTATGTTCGAAATAAGAATCATCCTGAAGGTTGTATGGCTGAAGGATATATTGTGGAAGAGAGTATCATATTTTGCTCCAGATATTTGCATGGGGTGCATAATCCGTTTGATAAACTAGAAAGAAATGGTGATCGTGATTCTATTGGTTCAGGTAAAAAAGTATCAGTTTTCAATCAAAATGGTTATCCATTAACCATGGATAAGAATAGATCATTGGAAGATTTGGAGAGAACTCAAGCTCATATTTATATTCTAAATAATTGTGAGGAAGTTCAGCCATTTATAAGGTATATGTCTTCTACTGGTTGGTTATACTAATTACTCCTTTATAAAAAAAAATACTATATATTAATTGTTATTGTTCCATTTTGTAGAGAATATGAAACATCTTCCAAGAACGAAGACTTTGCCGAATGGTTTAAAAACCATGTAAGTTTATTTGCTTTTTCTGTATAAAGAATAATTCATTCAAGCATATATATTATATATGTATGCTTAAATATTTGCTACTTTTTATAGGCATCACAATTATGTACAAACAAAGATGTACAGTCGAGAGCAGAATTATTATCATTAGCTCGAGGTCCTCTATATGGTGTTGATAGGTTCAATGGATATGTGATCAATGGTTTCAGATTTCATACCCAAAAACATGAAACAAGAAAAGCCAAACAAAACAGTGGCATCTTGTTAAAGGGGCTTATGGGTTCTAAGGTTGTTGATTACTATGGAGTTTTGACTGAAATAATTGAGCTTCAATATTTGGGAGGAAACAGGGTTGTAATGTTCAAATGTGAATGGTGGGATGTTGAGAATATTGACAGGGGAGTGAAGGTCGACAAATATGGCTTTGTTAGTGTTAATACATCTCGTAAGCTCGTGACAAATGAGCCATTTGTCCTTGCCTCCCAGGTGGAACAAGTATTTTATGCTCAAGATGGATCTAATCCTAATTGGATTGTTGTTTTGAAAGGTCAATCTCAAAGTTCTTTTGATCACTTCTCTGAGGACTCAGTTGATGAACAATCATATGAACAAGAAGAGGCTTTTCAACAAGAGAAATCCGCAACCAATTATCCAATCCATAATCTTGTTCAAGGCAATGAACTAGATGATTGGGAGGAAAATGATGAGGCACATGATGATTCTGATGATAATAGCAGTCATAGTGAGAACAGTGCAGATGAAGGACAGAGTTCCGGCGAGTCTGAAGATAATGACGACTTCTTGTTATAAGGTAAAATTTTTAATTTATTAATTTAATTCTTTCTGCTTTGAATATACAAGTGAAGGTCTTTTACTCGATTAATAATAGATGTATTCACATGCTACAGGTGCAATTTTCATCTCGTGACCAACAAACCATTGAGCTAGCAGTATCAGCATAGGATTTTGACTTTGAGTTGGCGGTTCTAGTTCTGTGGATACCTTCTTTCATTCTATGTTCCATGTAGTGCAGTAGTGCAGATGCTTTATATTGCAAAAAACATTCTACATAACAATATGTATTGTTATGTCTTTTTTATAAGTTGGTATTTTTTGGGTAACTGTAAGGTATTCTTTTATTTTAACCTTTTTTCTCTATTTATTGGAGTATGAACAAAATTATTAAATCACTTTTGTTATTAGATTTTTTCTTCAGTACATGACAACAATGATTTCATAAGAGGCATATATATAAATATCAACATTAGCACAAAAACGTCATCCCTAATAAATTTCAGCTATGAATATGTATAACTGTGCACACATCATATAATGTAAATAATAATTAAAGTCATAGTCTTGTTCACCATTCCAGCCATAATTCGTCGGTTATGGCTAAAAGTAATTTGATAAAAAGTTGCCATGAAGTTTGGCATTCGAAGCTAAATTGTTATCAAAATCAGTTACAATTAATGATATTCATGGCTAAAAAATAATTTATGCCACAATTTCTTTAACGTGGCAAAATGTAAGAAGTATAGCCATGAATAAGTGCTTTTAAGGCAATAAATTTATCAACAGCTATGAATTTAAGTTGTGGCAGGTAGTTTAGTAGCTAAAAAAACTCATTATTGCCACAACACTTATGCTTCAAAACTATAAACATTATTTAGCTTCGCTATATTTCATTTGTAACTCTATAATATAATTAAGTTATGGTTAGCTTCATGATAATAACGTTCGTGGCTGTTTTAGTATACCAGCCACAATTGAATTAACCGTGGCTAGGAATTTGTGTCAGTAGGTGTTGTTTCTTGTAGTGCTCATGTCGCGTGCTTGCATGATTATTGTTATGATCCATGCTCTACTTTCTAAATTATCAAGGTAATGACCATTGATGATCCACTGTTTCACCTTGCTCCTATTCAATGCAGTCAAAAGCGCGATTCTACCTAGAAGCGGAAATGGGGTAAAATCGTAAAGCGTAGAATTAAAGCGTATAAGCGTAAGTTTTTACGTATACTGTAAAATAACTAAAAATATGTTAAGTACGACATATATTGTGTAAAATATGAGTGCACAGAATTTATTTAAGTTAATAAATACTTGCATTGCATGCCTAAAGTAGAGCAACTTATAGATAAGTTAATAAAACGTTCATAAACATAAATCCTAACAATCAGCTACCTTCCCCTCAATGCTAATGAATTGGGGAAGAGCCTAGCTGGTGAATTAGATTACTCTATTGAAGCTGAGAATGCATCCAAGTAACTGGTATGTATCTCTTAATCTCAAATGTATCATTTTGCTGGTGATTTACCTTTAAAATATACTTGTGATAATTAATTTCATGAAAAGAACACACATTTAGTGAACTAAAAGCGTAAAAACGTAAAGCGTTTTGCTGAACTAGAAGCATATAATCGTAATCTTTTAAGGTTTAAAGCACAATTTAGTTCGATTTTATACACTAAAGTTTTTATATGAAAACGAAAGCGTTTTGGTGACCTAAAAGCGTAAAGCCGTAAGTTTTAAGTTTTGAAACGCGATTTTGACTACATTGCTTCTATTATTCGACCTAGTGTGTGCCTTGACCGTTCTAATGGTTAAAAACTTGTGTTTTGATGCTTTGCTTGAGCGAAATCAAAGGCTTAAGTGTGGTGGTATTTGATAACGCGTAAATAATACATGTATTTAGACAGTGGCGTAGTCAAGAATTTTGCTAAGATGGGTCCAACGCTACAAAGCAAATTATTCATAACTTATATTAATGTTTGTAATGACACACAGTGATGTTTTCATATTGTAAAAAAATATGTTAAATACATTAATCATTCAGACTATTAAACACGTCTCTCTCAACCAACCAAAGAATCATTATGATTTCATCATCCATCCAATTCCGAAGTGTGTTCTTCACGAAGTTCATTGTAGAAAATGCGTTTCAACACTTGCAGTAACAATAGGTAGCAATGATGTCAATTTTAGAAGTCGATACACCAATGGAAACCGTCGATTTTTTTACAATCATTTCCCTAAATTGGTACGACAAATTCAACGACAAAGACTTGGACAGAAGGGTGATGAGTGAGAGTTTCTGGCGGCCTTTGATTTGAGATTAAAATTCGATATGTGATATATATATATATATATATATATATATATATATATATATATATATATATATATATGGTTCAGACTAACGTACACCTGGCGTACGCCATACGCTTGTGTTCACACCTATTAATTATCTTTAATTAATTACAAATAAGTTTATAAATAATCATTATTATTATTATTACAATCACCCCTATACTTTTTTAATCCTATTTAGTCCCACATGATTTTTTACCGTCCTCCTACTTACATCAATCATATAAGTTTTTAATTTAACAATTATAGTACTTTCTTTCTTTTTATCATCATTTATAACACCCAAATTTTTTATAAAAATACAAAACTACAACTCTTCCTCATGCTAACCGTTTTGGTAAAACACAACTTAGAGTTTATTAGGCAGACTTTTCATATCAAAGCTCGCACTTTTCATCTTCTCTACACTGTTCATCCGTAAAAACCTAAAAATTGCAGATCAAGACTGCAAGTGCACAAGACTGAAACCGGAAAAGCATAGGCGCGCGATTGGGACCAAGGGAGACGTAGAGCCTCAGATATCAGAGAGTCGCTGCGGCATCAGGAAACTTTCTTGGCCGGCGGTGTACACAATTGGACCATGATGAGCTTATCCCCGACCGCCGATCCCTGTAAGCAAACCCAACCCCATCTCCGGCCACCACAACAAACAGAGATAGAAAGACACAAATGGAGGATAAAATTGGATGTAATATTTGGTGTTTGCCTTTGGCCATTTCCTCTTCTTTTTCGCCCGAAGTCTACTAATCTCCAGAGTCACCGCCGATTGGCTCAGATTAAGTGCCAATGTCATCAAGAAGACTTTCGGGCTAGTGGCTAGCAGCCATGAGAATATAATAAATGGAAGCCCCCGTCTGTAAGATTTGAATACGTGCACTGACCAAATTCCCCAAACAAAACCATTTCAAAATAAAACACAAACTTGGGTGGATAATGGCAGTTCGCTGGAAGCAGGGAGCTTATTACCTTGAAAATCCATAGACTTCCAGAATTTTCCAAAATTCCTAGCTCTTCCTCTTCTTTAACTATTTATTGTCTTTCGTCGTTTCCAGGTGGCGCATCTAACCACCGCGTTTGTTTCCTCTTTCCAGAACTTTCTTCCTCCACCTACTTCTTCGTGAAATTTGAACTTGAATCTCAAGTAGACATGTTTTCCGGCGACATCGAATCCCCCCCGGTCGCCCCCGGCTATGCCGAGGTGTAATGATTTGTTGCTGCAACAGAGAGAAGTGGGTGCACCGAGGTTCTTCTGTAATCGATGAGGGTTTTGGAAAACTTAATGAATACAAATTTTGTTAGCAAGAGGTGGTGATGACCGCTGGTCTCGCCGACCCTCCCTCCGGCGTTGATAGTTCTTGACTATCATGAAGACTGGCCTGGTCAATCGAGGGAGTCTGCAATTGTTGATCACAGTTTTCGGCAATTTGGACTTCATCATTCTCCATATTAAGTTTGGGTGTCTTATATCCTAATTTGAAGAAAGAAGGCACTTATATAATGAATATTTAGATGATGATTTAAAAAGAATGAACGGTAAAATATCGTATGGGTGTATAGCGTATATAAAATAGATATAATGGATGTGATTGTATTTATAATTATTATTGGTAATTAAATTAATAATAATTAATTAAAAATTACTTTATAAGTGTGAATATAGGCGTATAGCGTATACCAGGTGTACGCTAGCCTTTGCCATATATATATATATATATATATATATATATATATGGGGAGTTCTACGGTACCCCGGGTGAAATCCGGGGTACCGCATACCTTAAGTAAGAAAACCCTACTAGAACTTGAATTGACTGATCTTTCGGACATTATACTATACTCTAACCCATAAAGATCAAAATCTAGGTCTTAATTAACTAAATCTTATACCCCAAGATCAATTTAATTAGAAACAATAATCGACGGTTATGATTCGTCCAAATATAGGCAAAAAAAGTAATCTTAGGGTTTATAGTTTATGATTTAGATAATTAGGACCTAGGGTTCACTCATTAAGGGTTAGGGTATAGTATCATGCCCAAAAATCATGCTAATTCGAGGTCTAGATGCGTTTTCATACTCAAGGTATGCGGTACCCCGGATTTCACCCGGGGTACCGTAGAAGGCACCATATATATATATATATATATATATATATATATATGTTTTTCGATGATTTCACTTAGAAATTGGAAAACTCAAAAATAAATAATTTGTTGTGTATCCTAACTCACGCTTACTAGGTTAATAGAATCCAAATTAATATGATACCAAAGAGACTTGCACGGCTTAACGGAGGAATCGTTGTCCTCTAACAAAGGAGTGTAGGGTGCGATACTTGGCTGCAACAGTGTATGTGTATATTTTTGGGAATCCAAGGTGGGTCCCGGGACCCACCCATATATGGGTTGGCCCCGCCACTGTATTTAGATACCTTTCAAACCTCTTTGCGTGTTCACTTCGACAATATTTCTATGTTTTTGTTGGTTTTATGCTTGGTTTGTGTTTTTAGCATTTTTCAGGTCATGATGACTTTTTTGATGATATTTGGACGAGAAATACACAAAGTATGAATGTTTTGGAGCCTTGAAGCATTTGGAATGCTCTAGGAGGTTTTTTTCAAGATCCCCATAACTAGCCTCACAATCATGGGTCGGACCGTGAAAATTAGCTAGGAATTCCCCTCAATGGCCAAAGAAGAAAATCAGTGTTGAGCGATTCAAGGCCAGTGTCACAATCGTTACTCGAGCCGTGAACACCCCACGGGCCGTGAATGATGACAGAAAGTCTACCATAGCAACGTTAGACCATTTTAAGTATTGGGCGAGGATGTGATTTACGGGTGGTCTCACGATCATGAATGTACTGTGAATGACCTTCTGCATTGAATATTT